ATCCATTGATGAGCAAAAGAAAAAAAAAAGTAATATATCCATTGATGAGTAAAAGAAAAAAAAAAAGTAATATATCCATTTTGAAAAGAACTCGACTGTATAAATCCATAAATGAAAATTTGCTATGAGAGAAAGATTAGGTAACATATTGTACAAACCAATTATATAAGATTATATGTCCAAATCCAAGATAATTAGACAATAGAAATCTATAAGTGAAAGGATAATTAACAACTACATGATATGATTGTAAATGAAAAACTGGTTAATAGGCAAATATGTTACACTAACATTGTAACAATTGATAATATAACCGGGGCCTCTAGCTCTGGTGGTAAAAGAGCCTCAGCTGGGGTACCCGCCATCACGAGTTCGAGTCCCGGCCACTGCAGACTTTACATGTGGGCTGCAGCACCCCAGACCACCAGTTTCAAGGGGCCCTTTAGTGGACGTTTAATAATCCTTGATCGCGGGTTTAAGCCCAGTGGGCTAGTCAGATCACTGTGTGGTCTGGAACACGTAGGGTTATACAAAAAAAAAAAAAAAAAAAAAAAAAAGCCAATTGATAATATATGAATCCAATTAAACTAATACTTATTATTATTATGTTCCTAATTGATCCATTTTTATTTAAAAAAAAATTGTTTCAAAAGATTACCATCTCAATAAAAAAAAATTTATGTTATAAGTATTTTGTAATTCTATTTAAAATCCTTTGTTATGCAAAAAGTTGAGAATTTATTGATTTTCCAATTCTATCAAATTCTATTGTTATTGGGAAAATGGTTTCCAAAATATTGCACTTATCATAAGTATTTGTAAAATCTTATCATATGAAGAATCTACTAAACTCCCAAAATCTGGGTAAACAGTATTTTAGAATCTACCGATTTTGTTGAGAATCTTTAAATATCTAAACTTTTGAATCCACAAACTCTTTTAAAATCAATATTCCAATAACCCCCGTAATCTAAAATTAATTAGCTTTCTTCATTTATTGTATATGGTTTGAAGGAAAGAATATTTAAGATATATTGATGAAATAAAGACATTTTACATTAATACATCTTTCAAAATACATAAGATATAAGCTTAATCTACACAATTTTAACTAATGTACAAAATGTAATATAATCAACTCATAAAAACTAGACTAAACAAATTCAGAAACGTAAGGATAATTAACAATCCCATGATTTCTAAAGAGAAAAAATCCGAAACAAATCTTCGTTTATTTAATTTTGGTAAATTTATACCTACGATCTCAAACCAAAAATAAAATTCCAAATTTACCTTTTCAATCTGAATTTATTATCAATGTTTAAATGATGTGGCATTAATTTTTAATTTTAAATAAAATTTTAACTCAAAAATTAATTTTAATGGTATTATGTTTTCTATTATTATTTTATTTATAAGTACAAATAAATAAAAATAGAAAGAAAATCTATTCAATTTTTCTAAAAATTTAAAGAAAATTTAATGAAAAATTTTAAAATCAGTTTTGCTTACAAATTAATATCACAAATCTATTTAGGTTATTTCAAATTAGTTTTGCTTACAAATTTTATATTCTCCAATAATACTAAAGTAATCTATGTATTTTAAGATTTTATTTTATAAATAAATAATAGTAGTAAAACAAAATATCAAAAAAAATTATTTTTTAGTTAAAAATTACTTTTTGAGTTAAAATTTACTTTTATCAAATAAAATTAAAATTATTGACATATTAGTTAAACATCAATATTTAATTTTGGTTGAAAGGGTAAAACTGGATTTTTATTTTTGGTTTGAGCTCGTAGGTATGAATATACCAAAATTTAAATAAGCGAAGACTTTTTATAACAAAATTAAATAAAATAAGTGTTTTCTTCCAACCAAAAAAGTTCAGGTATTAAATGTCCAAAAATAAAATAAACCAAGTATATTTTGGGTTTTTCTCCAATTTCTTAATAAATGAAAAAATTATTAATAAACAAATATGTCCAATAGCATTGCAACAATTGGTTATATATAACAAGCAGGGGTACCTCTGTTTCAAGACAGCATCCTAGTATATTCCACGATATTCTGGTGGTTGATCACCGAGAGTAAGTAAAACTCATTTACAAACTCTTGGAGCTTATCTTGAACCACTAGTCTCCTACCTTAGACTTTTTCACGGCTGAAATCCTACCATCAGCGAGAAATCCTTTAAACACTGTTTCTTGTGCTCTATGACCAAGTACTAACTCTCTGTAGCCTTTTCTAGTTTCATGGAGCTAAATACTCTAATTCTATCTATGTATCCTTCCCTGACCTCAGTTTTAGCTGTAATAGCAGTCCTCCATTTCTCTTAAAATTCTTCTTTTTCGCTTATCCTTTCTATATTTTCGTTAGAAAATATAAAGACTGATCCCTACGCCCACAACAAAGAGGCTCAAACCTATACTTACACCAATGGTTATGAAACAAATTAATTTCGTCAAGTGTATCTTACAGTTTTAGTTATTAAATATTAAGCAAAAAGATAAGTGAAAACTTTTAATTTGGAAAGAGATTATTTTTGGTCTTAAGACAGTAATATATGTATATATATACTTAAGATTTGTTATTAACCGTTAATTATAAGAATCTTGTAATATTCAATTGTCAATCACCAAAACATTTGCGAGCTATTCACCATTATTCAGAATTTTGTTAAAATATTAAAAAAACTTAATTTAGAAATTATCCCCTAACACATGATTATACTATTTTATAAAAATTGTCATTTCTTAACTTTCAGGTTTTTAAATATCATTTTCAGGCTCTGCAATTTATTGAATTTTTGAAAATTAATTAATTATTATTAAATTTGATGTAAAGCTCTTTCAAACTATTATCAATCTAAAATGTGATATAAATACATATAAAGTCATTTGTAAAGAAGTTTATATTAAAACGCTAATAAAAACAAATTATAGAATCGTTGAGAAAAACACTAAGAAATTTTTCAAATACGAGTTATAAAAAAATACATCTTTAAACAATACTATTTTGAAAGTCATTATATTATGAATTATATTGAACTTTAGTTCTCTTTAATTTAAGCTAAAAACTATTTTCAAAATTCATTTGATCTGCCTTCATGTTTTAGTTAATGAAATTGCTCGATGATACATGATATATTACATTTATACATAAATTAAAAATTAAACAAATATAACAAATTATAAAATCAATCATTAATAAAAATATTGATTTTGTTAAACTCATAATCTCATTTAGTTGTAAAATATAAATTCTATTTCTCCTTTATAAACCGAAACGGATAAATAATCTTGTTTAATTTGCAAAATATAAATCCTACTTATAAACCCAAAACAACATATAATCTCATTTAATTATAAAATATAAACTATAATGCTCATTTATAAACTCAAATCAACATATAACCCATATACAATTGTAAAACCTATGTCTCAATCGTCCTTTACAAAACAAAAACTAACATATAATCTTGTTAAATCGTAAATCCTAATATTGTTGATAAATCCCAACCGACATAACCCAAAATTAGGTTAATAGTTTAATTTTTAATTAAAAAGTTTGAATATAATTATTTTGCATATGTTTTTTCAATATGGTTTTGAAAAACTATTTTTATCTTAATATTAACAAAACTAAATATAGCATGTGTCGACATCTTATGTTTTACTTGACACTTACCATGATCACTTGAGTTAGTAACTTTCAAAAACCAAGCTTCAACATATATATATATATATATATATATATATATATATATCTATATATAATCTCACTTGATTGTTAAACCTAAACCATAATTCTCATTTATAAAGCTAAATTATTTATTTATAAACCAAAACCAACATATAACGTGTTTTAATTGTAAAATAAAATCTAAACCTTAACACTTAAAATCTAAACCTTAAACCTTAATGAAAAAAACTTAAGATCCTTAAAGATGGTGATGTAGATGAATAATAAACTTCGTTTATCTTAAGATGATGATGATTGATCATACACTTACCTTAGAGTTTACAACATTAAAAACTCACCCATGCCATTTTTCTTTTTTTCAAAGTTACAAAGATTAATATTTTATTAAGAAATTTTTATTCCAGGAGTATATATAAATCTCTCTTCTTGAATTTCATATGTTATACATATAATCATAACCAATGCTTTAAACGATAATATACATGTATGATGTATCACACTAACTACCCTATCTACGTTGCAAACCACTAACATTTTTATGCATTCATCATTATGTGGAGTGGATCAACTACGTAATATACATCCTAACATAACTTTTTCTTACTTAGGGTTGTGATTTGTAGATTGTTTGAATGTTAATATTGAAATTTTGTAGTTACATAGTTAGATTCATGAGGGTATATTGAGCAGCTTAAATATTGATAGAGAAAAAGTAAAATTTTAATTTAAGACTTGAATTTGATACAACATTTGAAAATGTGTACTTATATGATTAAGGTGAATAAGCAAAGATTTTACACAAAAAAAAATTAGTAACAAGGATATCAAATTGCTTGTTACACGTTTACTTCACCTAGTACCCTTGTACACATCTCAAGCAGCTTACGAGTGTACAAGCGGTTTACTAGTTAGTTATTAAGTTATTAACATATGTTGGATTAAATTTACCTTCAAATTAATTTTAAGAAATCATTATGATATGTTGTATTAAGTTTGTTTGTTTGTAATCTTTAGTTTTAGTAATAATGACATATTTTCAAATTTTATTGTTGGTTATACCACTATATTTTTGTTTTATAAATGTCATTGTTACATTTCATAATTTAGGGATCATTTTGTCAAAAAGGTTAACAAAAAATTAAATTTTGCGTGATTCTTTTTAATATAATGCAATTATTTCATAATATTATCTTTCTCTACAAAATGATAAACCAATGAAGAAAAATATTTTCGTTCACTTTCTCATATTTTTCTATCAAAATAAAAAACCATTTCTCATCATTATCTCCCGTATAATGTATTAATAATTTAATATACATACTTCTTTGGATCGACACAACATGTCATCATAATTAACTTTAACAACAACAAAAAATACATTATGGCTTTATATGCCTCAGAATAAAATACTACAAATTCCATATTTTAATATATTGAGTGTGTGATCACAATTTTTGAGACTTTCTCCTCGCGCCTACCAGACTTGGAATTTTCTAGTCATTTCAACTGACCTGTTAAACTCTAATCTGAGCCGTCACTTTAATCTCATCTACTCATCTCAACCGTTAAAAATCTCCTTTACCCCGACCCACACGAACCTGTCGACAAAAATAAATAAACCTTTCTTCAAACTTTCCCGGAAGATCACTAGAAACCTCCAATGAACCATCCAAGACCACGACCAAATCATTCTCTCTTTACTAATAATTATATAAACATTTTGATGTTTACTTCTTACTTCTTACCCACTCAAAATAGATGGCGAGCTTGAGCACGAGCTTGCTAGGGATAAGACGAGGGTTGAGTAACAAGAACAAGGTAGATCATCAAGATAAGACCAAAACCGCGGTGTTTTGTAAGAAGCATCCGAAGCATAGACAATCACCTGGTGTTTGTTCTCTTTGTCTTAACGAGAAGCTCTCTCTTTTTATGAAAGCAGCTTCTTCACGTGGACGACCAAGATCTCTCTCTTCATCATCAACTAGTTCCTCTCTTTCTTCTTACTGTTCTTCATCTGTCTCTTCTTGTCCTTCTCCTCTTCTTGATGGCCGACGATACTTGGTAGTGGAAGGAGGCAGCGGGAGAAGAGAAAAAGGGGTTTCGTGGATGACGAAAAGCCGATCTGTTGCTTATAAAGTTGATGATGAGAAGAAGAAGAAGACGACCAAAAGTGGTTTCTTTTATGGTTTGGTAATGGGAAACAAGAAGGGGAAATAAAGAGAGTGTTGTAGATTTGTTAGATATTAGATTGTTCTTGATTGAGTAATTTTTATGAATGCGTTTCTTGATTCTTTCATTTTTTTATTGGTTGCTACATATATCTAGATCATGACTAGATTAGTTTAGTTTTTTTTGGTACGTGTGCAAGTGAGAGAGATTATTCTCTGTTAACAACGATATGAGAATGAGAAAGCAAAACTAAATACATAATTAACGAGGTTGCAAAGTCTTTTTTATACGTACTTTTATTGATTCGTTGAGCTTTTAATGGTAACATAAAAATGTATGCTAATCAAGATTAAATATGCATTGAAAATATAATTATTGTATGCTCTAAATCAAGAGATTTGGGACATAAGTTTTTGTTGTTGTTTTTAGTTTGACCCAAAAATAATAATAATAATAATGTTCACACTTAATTACTTGAAAGCAAACTTGGACTTTTCTTTGAGCATAAAATATATATACATTAAATTATGTTCAGACTAGGATTCGAGATATACGAATGTGTTAAAAAATTTTAGAGTCACTTGGAGGCTCTTATCCTAAGATTTTGTTAAGAAAAGATCCGAAGATTATATCAGATATTTTCTTAACAAAATCTTAGGCTAAGAGCCTCCCAATAAAGATGGTTTTACTCTATCTTGTAGTAATGTTTATACTTTTAGACCTTCCTCAACTTATAACTCAATCAAAGGTGTCTTTGGCTAATTTATTTTATTAAATATTAAACTAACAAAAAAATATAACAAAATTAGAATGTGACACATAGTCAGCATCTCAATGTGACACGTGGCATATAAGTCAGCATATATTAATGTGGAATATGAAATTAGCACTATTTGTACTAATTGGGTATGAAATTTGAATTTTATTTGAGTTTGGGTATAAATTCACACTGCATCTTTGTATAGGTAATTATACGTATTGTTTTTGATTCCTTGAGCTTTTAGTGGTAACATAAACAGGTATGCTAATCAAGATTAAATATGCATTGAAATGATAATTTTATGCTCTAAATCAAGAGATTTGGGACATAAGTTTTTGTTGTTGTTTTTAGTTTGACCCAAAAATAATAATAATAATAATAATGTTCACACTTAATTACTTGAAAGCAAACTTGGACTTTTCTTTGAGCATAAAATATATATACATTAAATTATGTTTAGACTAGGATTCGAGATATACGAATGTGTTAAATTTTTTTAGACTCACTTGGAGGCTCTTAACCTAAGATTTTGTTAAGAAAAGATCCAAAGATTATATAAGATATTTTCTTAACAAAATCTTAGGCTAAGAGCCTCCTAATAAAGATGGTTTTACTCTATCTTGTAGTAATGTTTATACCTTTAGACCTTTCTCAACTTATAACTCAATCAAAGGTGTCTTTGGCTAATTTATTTTATTAAATATTAAACTAACAAAAAATAATGAAAAGGTGACACATAGTTTAGAATCTCTTTAATAATATCTTGAATGTCTCGGCGGAAGACATTTTTATTTTTCTTTTTTGATGAATGTATTAAACTTAATAATGAAAATTAGGAAAGACATTCCATTTATCACCGGTGGAGGTGCTCTTAGAAACAACTAAAATTTGTTTGTTATTATATTTATCAAGATCATTATATATAAAACATTTCATACAAATTTAATTACACATTTTGATGTAAAATTATCTGAAAATTTAAATAACGTACACAAGAAGAACTGAATATTTTTCTTTTGGATTCGGACAAGTATAGTTCCATTAGAACGAACCTCTCTAGACAACTTGTCAAAATAAAATAAAAACATAGTCAAATCCATGGATCTTGGAACTGTCGAAGAAAAATAATAAAATTCATTATAAATCTTTCTTTGGCAACAAATAAAACTACGTTTAGATGTTCTTCACAATGCAAAATTAAGTCTTACAAATATAGTAATACTATATCATACAAGTCAAGCTTTTACGCATGTGTGTACGTTTACGAAAGAAAGACTTGTCAAATGATCTTTATTAACACTTTAGTATCTCTCCCACATTACCTGGAAATTATCTATTCCCTTTTCTCTTACTTTTGAGTACAATCTTGCTTTTTTTGTTTGTTCCTTTTTTCCGATGCTAGCACTACTAACACAAAAACATAATAGCTTTGGCTTTGGGTTTTACTTGTTCTTGACTATACCTACAAGTAAATAAACGATTTCCTACGGACATATGCGTAAAATATTAGTTGCAAATAGTTGTTTGTTTCCGTTTTTTATAAAAATATTAGTAGAATATCACCAGTAGAAAATCATAAATAGTAAAAATATAGTAAAAAAAAGTTATACTAAAAGAACATTTCCTACATTTTTGACCATTTTTCTACAAAAATATCGTAAAAATATATTATTTCTAATTTCCTATCAAATACGTAAAAATATATATAATTATATATTACCCAATATATTACCCAACATCGAGACCCGAGATTTGTTTTGTGCGGCCAATGAGGGAGAGTACTTGATCGGGTCACGTGGTTTAATCCGGGAGTTGTAATGAAACGAAAAGTGTGACGATCGAGACCATGCACCACAAATGAAGCAAATAGGTGTGGTACCATATATTTGTCGATAAAAAGTTCCATATCTTCTTCTCTGCCGCCTCTAAGTGACAACTTTTATCAACTGAGCAACGCCTGATAGGTGCATACAAAGTTATAGAATATGCAAACTTTTGCTATGAAAATTTACAAAAGTATACAAAATTATGTGGTGAATAACAAAACACATAACATCAAACTAAAACGTCCAAAGTTTTTTTTTGGCTAAAGCCCATAATGTTATTGAGCCGGTCCTATGACGTTAACCTTCTTTTATGTAAGCTTTGAACAAAATCTGTATAACTTGCAAGTCAAGTCCTAGCTTTATAACTTACTTTAGTATAAGTTAAATCCCTTTTTCTAAAATTTTAAAATTTTAATTTTTTTTTAACGAAACCTAATCAGTAAACACATATATTTTCAGGTGGTGGAATATATACATACCGTGCTGGTCAAGCAGCTTACCGAACATGAATGAATGCCAATATGAAAAATACGCCATTGTTTCCGCAATCAATGTCAATAGAAGCCGCATATTGTTGTGGATGTAAACAAAGTCTTATGCCCAATTTGTAGTCAATCTATTTCTTCTAGGTGAGTGGATGAATGAGTAAGTACTTCAATTGCGCTCAGCACAAAAACACAAGAAGGCCCGCACAGCAGTGGTCCAGTGGTAAGGGAGAATTGGGGAAAGGTTGGAAGGAACTAACCCAGGTTCGATCCACCCTGGAAACAAAAGTCATTGTTGTGTGGGAAGTCTGTCAGTTGGGCCTTGGCCCAATTGGTTTACCTGGTAGTCAGAAATGCAGGCGGCCTGACTACCCCCTGGCATTAGTCGGAAAGCATTCCAAACTCGGGATAGACAGTGTGGTGGCCCTTTGGGGAGAAGTTCATTCTGAAGCACTTCGGTGCGTTTCTACCGCGGCTGACCGGATCAGCCGATAGGGTTTATCAAAAAAAAAACACAAGAAGAAAAGATAGGTTTGTCAAGAAACTTAATAGTCAAAGTAAGAAGAGGAGTGTGAGCGCAATTGGAGAACTTTGGCTTTTAAGTTTCTTGGACAATTTTTCTTAGTGTGGTGAGAGAAATTGGAGTACTTACTCATTCATCCACTCACTTAAAAGAAATAAATTGACTACAAATTGGGCCGAAGAATTGGTTTACATCCACACAAGTCTGCAACTTCTATAAAAATAATACTGATGATTATGAAGAAAATGAAAAATACAAACAATACTAGGATGTTGGTGGAGATGAAGGTGATATAACGGCTAACAGGGATCTTGGAGTTTTTGAACCTTTCATTAGATGATCCGGTTTTCAAAAATAAATTCTTCAATAATTAGATTTTAATTGTTATTTAAGATATTATTACAAATTAATATTTTTTTTAATGTTGAGTTATATTTATAATTTAAATTTATTTTTCTTATATGTTTATTGGAGATCCTATCCCGTATCCGTATTCTGTCCCCATTTCTGTACTGGTTTCTTATTCCTGTACCTGTCTCAATGCTACACCGAGTTTGACAACTTCTCGAAGTGGCTCGGTTAGAATTAGTGAAACTGTTGCATCTCTTAACTAGCTTTTAATAAAGAGAGAAACAGTAATTTGTTTCTCTTCTCTGTTACCATCAGTTTTTTTTTTGGTTACCAGCAGTATTTTGTTTGTTTACAATAGCCTTTGTATCATTTCTTTATCTTAATAAGGAGACTTCTCTATGTTTTCAATTGAAAAATTAGCTATGAGATCATCAATTGGGATTTCTATTCATCGCTCAAGGACAAACTTTTCCCAATTGGTAAAGGAGACATGAGAATATCGAATCTTGTGTTAATACAAGATTATTTCAATTTGATGATTATCACACGAGAAGCGACCAAACTTATTAGTTTTTACATTGTTTGGTCTAGTTAAAACATCTTGTAATAAAACCATGAGACAACAAGTCTAGCTAGTATTGATTCTAAATGTTACAAAGACTGTAAATTCTTCTCCAATTCGTACAGATACAAAGTTTGAAACAAGACATAAGCATGTGTAACCCTGCCAATAACTATGAAAGGGATATAGTGTACAGTAAACTTCACTTACCTTTTGATATCTGTGAGGACTTTGCTTTGAGTAACAACGAACTTATACTAATTTTACTTTTATTGTTGATCGATTATTCATGTTTTTTGATGGTAGATGCTTAGCTCCGCATGTGTTTCCTTGTAACGCTGGGTGAGGTACGCCGAACATTTGATCGGTGGATATCTAATAAAAATCATAAACATTAGTAACAACACTACTTATCACTCAAAGGTTTTCATATAAAACTAGCTGAAGTCTTACTTAGGGAGGTTGCTTTCCGACTTGCAAGTTGGGAGACACTCCACAAGACAGTCATGATTCGGTTCCACGAAGAATGGGATCTGCGTTGAGAAAACATTAGATGCGACATTGATGTTATATATGTTAGTTTGCTAGACTCGGTTCTGAACATGTCACACACAAAACTAAACTGTTGAGAATATTATAACCATGCATTGAGGGTATATATATAGCTAAAACACCTCCTTAATAACACTGAAAGATTGTAATGATAAGACAAAGATTGGCGTAGTAAGAGCCTTACGGAATATCGTTCCTGACCGTTCCCAAGAACCCGATGTAACGTCGATCTGTAAGGACAATATGCATGTGAGAAATTGCCAACTAGATAACTTTACTTCCAAATCACAATCCTTTGTAAAGCTAGAACTAATTACTTGAAAAATCCATTGCTCCAACGTTCGAGCATGTCACCAAGATTCACAATAAAAGCCCTGAAGACAGATAATTCAACAAATAAATCCCACCAAATTGAAAGGAATGTAGGATTTAAAGTTCATAAGATGATGACTCATCCAATGAACAATTAGGAAGGTTCTTCGTTATACCCTTTAATCGGCGGTACATATTCCCACTTCTGAGGTGTCGCGTTCTTATCTTTGCATATCTGCCCCAAGATTTAGCAATTTCTCATATAACTCATTACCCCGGTTATGTCAAAACGTATATGAATAGCAAATCTGTTTTGCTTAATACCTGGAGACCCATTACACCATCTGTGGCTAACAAAGTCATCATCCCAAAGTCAGAATGTGCACCACACGCATATATTCCTTTCGAGGGATCAGAAACCCCTAAAGGCAAAAAAGAAGCAGGGGTAAGTATAACATAATGACCATACAAAGATTAAGAAACTATAACGCTCTTTAACCGTCATAAGAAAATACATTACCTTGATAACGCAACAAACGCATAGTTGCAATCGGCTTTCCAAGCATCTCCGTCTTATCGAAGTAATCCACTTCCAAGTCGAGTGCTAACGCCAATAATCTTGCAATAGCCTTAGAAATCCTCCTGAACCATACCGAAAACCTTTTTCGTAAATCTTTCGATACCATGATTTTGTTCCTATATCTTTCTTCAAATTGACAACAACATAGATGAAATATTCAACAAAACCAACTAATTTCAGTAAAAAGGCCAAACCAAAAAACAAGACTTACAATGCTTCTTGATGATATTTCTCCATCGTTTCTCGCCAACCGGGTAAAACATCTACCACAAACATCAACATCTATTCAAAGAAAGTACCATCAACAAAATCAACACAACAACAAAAACACAACACTAACCAGAATCAGGCCAAGGGTTAGGACCATAGAATGGTTTATCCCAATGAGGATCATCTTTAGGAACTTCAATTCCAATATAATAACCTTCTTTATGATCCCCTAATAAATTCCAAATATTATAAATTAATCAATCAAATCACAAAACACCATTAAAATCAAGAACAGAGAAGATAACACCAAAACAATACCATTGACTTGATTCTCAGGATCTAAAATCTCATCAAGAACAGGTGTATAGCCTCTATGCTTCTCGTTTCTCAACACCTTCATCTTCTCATCTAAAGGAAGAGCAAAAAACTTCTTGCTCTGCTCAAATACATCTTCCATGAACTCTTCGTTTATCCCATGATTGATCACATAGAAAAATCCACTATCCAAACATGCCTAAACCCATATCAAGAAATCAAATCTTTATTTTCTTGTTTTGCTTTCTAATGATCAAACACATGCAAAAAAAATCGAAAAAATTGAGATTTAAGACAGAACCTGTTTAAGGGACAGAACTGAGTTGTGAAGATCATCGTTGGTTAGATCGATACAATTAAGAGATGAAACATTCATGGTCGGGTCGTTCGTATGATTCTCCATCTCTATCTCTCTCTCTCTTTCTCTGTCGTTTGGTTTTTTTTTGTCCTCCACTCGAGAAAGAAGTAATAAAGAAGGAATCAGAGCCGTCCCGACATATCAGCTAGATTGTTGTCTTAAATTCAAAGAGGTCAACAGCCTAATAAAATATTAGAGAATCTAAATATGCCACTTTTTTTATTTTTAAAATTGCCACTTTACGAATATTTAAATATTTAAATCAATCATTTGTTATCCATCACGTCTTTCCAAGGTGACTGTTCGAGCAACCATGATCTCATATGTGCCGAAGTGTTTGTTTCAAAGCTTTTATGGGTCTTTTCTCGAAGTTTCTATCTATCTGTTTAGGGAATTGAGGAATGCTTTTGTACTCTTTGGATCCTTATCTTTGTTTTCAATGAATAAAATCATATGTTCGTCCCAAAAAAAAAAAATATTAAAATCAAACAGAAATTTTTATTTTTTTTTCTAGACTTTTCAATTTTTAATATGAAAGTTATGATCCACACAATAAAAAATACAGGCCAGAAAATTTGCTTTGAATATGTGAATCTGTTGACAAAAAAAAAAAAGAATATGTGAATCCAAAATGGTGGTTGTAAACATTAGAGTATTGGGGAAAATTTCATAAATAATATTTTTATTCCTTTAAGTTTTTAACTTATACAATTAAGCCATTAAAACAATAATTTTACTACTTAAAACTTTTCAAATGACTTTTACGGATCCACAAAAATTAGCGGAAAAATAAATTTCGTTAACATAACAATTCATTTTCATTAAAATAATGGGGGTTTGGGTAAAAAAACTTCAAAACCGTCAATTTTTGCAATTTTACATTTCACATTCAGAAAGAATTATACAAAGTTATATGCAATGTAAGCGTTACACGTATTTTTAAATTGTTTTAAGGTAATATACCTTAGTTTAACAATATTATAATGGTAGATTTCGATAATTCGTCGTGATTCCTTCAGTTTGATCTATTATTTGTTAATTTTTAAAAACTTGACATCAATGTACACGAGTTATATTGCATATTATTTCTCACTTTGTATTATTTATTTGTATTTTCTGGAAGTGCAGGGTAAAGTTGCAAAAATTGGCAATTTTAAGAGTTTTTCATGCACATCTAGCATTTGTAATCATCATATGGCTAAGATTCATGTAGATCTTGAGCACAACATGTCTTTAGAGGAGAGAAGTGAGGGTGCTCGAGTGGAAGGTAAAGGAACTTCGTTAGAAGAAGATTCATTTTATAAGAATCATGTGGAATTGTGATGGTGTGTTGCAGGAGACTTGGGAGCCAGAGGCGACGATGAATGCAAGGTTTAAGAAATGGTTTGATAAGCAGGTGAAGGCTTGAGCTTGTCTTTTCTTGGTTCCAGTTTTAGAAATTAGATATATGCTATGTTGTTGTATTTTTAATGTATTTTCGCTGTGGTTGTAACACTTTTGACATTTTGAGATTAATAAGATGAGTATTTCTTGGATTTCACATATGTTGTCACGAAAAAGAAATGGTTATGCGATTCTAAGACTATAAATATTATGAGTGCATGTGTAAACACCTCTTGGGGATATGATATTTAGAGTATGGCTTGGTGGTGGTCATGGTGATATTTCGAGAGGGGAATATGGTGGTCCGTATGACATTGCATTGTTTTACCCTAACAACGGGAGGTAGGTCTAGTCAAGAGATATGCTCGGGGAGTTGACGATATTTAAATAGTCAGAAAAGGGCACAATTCGTGGCGATTAAAACTGTCACAGTTATGCAAACCACGAGAGGTAAATCTGGTCAAGAGTATGCTCGGGGAGGTTTAGACTTGTTTTCTCCTGGGACATATGTTAGCTTCAAATGACGATCCAAGAGCACGCTTTAGGGTGATGACCTGAGAGGGAACTTTGACTCCATGGATAACATACCTTGAAGGCGAAATGTATGGTAGTGAGCCGGTCTTAATCAAAGGTAGATGATTCCTGGGAGCGAAGAAATGGTTTGTTACTTCAAAGATAATGTAACTTAAAATGTCGGGGGCATTATGGTGAGCAGATATGAATCAAGTGTTACGACTGAGTGCAGGAGAGGTGTATGAGTTGAGAAAATAATGTTTGGGACACAAGTATATTGACTAGATGGAGACCTTAGAGGATTATACGGAAGGTGTACGCCGTGGTGACGTGTACAGAGGTCCTTAGCTGAAGGTCGGTGTTGAGAGTCGAGGACGGATTGTAACACCCGTGAACAGAATTTGGGATTTTAGTATGGGTTGTTTGGTTTGATTTATGATTCTAGATTTGTGCAATTTGGTTTGGAAAAATCCTCGGGCTCGTTTAAAAGAGAAACTCCACGCTCTTGTGTTGTTTAGCCTAATATATGGGGGACTGCCTCCTAAGTATTTTTGGTAATACTTACGCATTTCTTTGTTTGTGGTGCATGTAACGGAAAAGTGTGACCGTGATCTCATCGCGATGAGAGGGAGGATGATCTCTTTGTTTGTTAATGTTGTAATTATTTTGTTATGGTTTTTGTTATGATGTTAGTTCTTGGAATAATTCGGTAGGTTATTTAGTGTGTATATGTTTATTAATTGATGGATCAAAAAATAAAAACCGGGTCAGATCATTTCAGTATCGTGTAATCATATTATTTAAATGATTAGTCATCCTAGCTACTAAATAGGAATGAGAGTTCAAAATACAAATACATATTTTCATAACAATAGAGAAGAATCATTTACATTATAAGAAATATATCAAAACATATCTTTGGGTGGGTCCATGGGACAATGGTCCACGGTCAACACTTTTTACATTAAAATTTAATTTAGTTTGACCATTTTTTTAATTATTACCTTAAAATAAGTGTTCAAATGGCAATAAATATTTATATTTGATAATTTATAATAACTAAAAGATAAATAAATCTAAAAGAATTTCTAATCACATATATATAGTTCATGTATCTTGTATAAAAATAAATAGGTTTAGAGAGATCTTGAATTTTTTTTTAAGTCAGTTAAGTTCTTTATTTTTCTTTGATCATTATATTTTGGGGCTGAAGAAAGAGATCATGTTTAATTCATGGTTAATCTCTTAAAGATCTTATGATTTGTTGACCCAAAAAAAAAAGATCTTATGATTTAGCTACAAATACTTTTTTTTGAAATCTGAAATTGCTTTGAAAGTTTTCCAACAGAAACTGTGTATTTGATATTAGTCTTTTATCAAATTTTGGCACAAAAATGTCTAATTAGCAAATGCTATTTTAATTGTTTTTTCAAATTTATATATTTTTAAGTCTTTGTGTTTGCTCCAATATTTAAACACAAACCCGAATTTGTATTTCAAAATGTAACAAATTTTCGTGCACAAACTCCTTTCAGAGTAATTTTTTGCAACAACTTCTTGTGAATTATTATTTGATTATTACAATTTTTATAGTGGTTTTAGATCTCCAATGAATTAGTTTTTCAAAAGTTTGATGGATTATTTCTTAAAATTGTTTTAACAAAACATAATCTTTAGAAGAACAATACAACTTTGACTTGTAACGAAGTTTGGAATTTTATCCTTCTATTTGAATATCTCTTTACGCTCATTTAAGACTATTTTCTACAATGAAATTTTTATTTGTTTTGAACACAGATATTATCTGTTCACATATCTCTTTATATTGCTGTGAAACTTTTATCTACATTGATATTTGTAGATCTTTTTATTTGGGAGAAGAAACCTTCAAAATCTATTCATAACTATTCATGAGTTTAAGATAATATTTAGAAATTTTGGTCCAAAAATGATAATATTAGTGATTTGTTAATCAGCTTTTGTTTTTTTTAACACGTTAATCAGCTTTTGTTATGTTACAATATATTTCTTGAATAATAATTATTTTATATATTATACAATATAATATGAGAGACATAAGAAATACTTTATAATACTTGCTTTACGAATAATTTGTGCAGATCGATGGGTCCAGAATGATCGATTTAGAGAAATATAAGGCGAAAAAGATACTGGATACTACATTGAACAATCAACCTCCATCTTCCCTTACAAAGCTTATGTCTTGCTAGCATTAACGACAAATCTCGGTTAGTTTTTATAGTATATAGTTTTGCTAGATAATAAAGACTGAATTTAGCTTAAATTCGAAAAACACATATATAACAACAATCCGGTTTGTTATTGATGCATCATAAATGCATATTTAAATACGAGGTAAATACGGCTTTATTGTCAAATAGTTAAATTTGCCGTTAATTCATTATAATTAATTCGTTAATAAATTCTTTGTAAAACTTTCCAAAAAAATAATGATGATACAAATTTAATTACTAAAATGATGGGAGTTTTTTTTTTTTTTCAAATAATAAAAATTTTGAGATTATAATTGAGGTTTTAGGATTTATAGTTTCATCATTAATACGTCGTAAGGTAATATCGTTTATCCATTGTAACAGTGAATTTGACGTAAAGTTTCATCGCTAATGAATGCCCTATTATTGGCTCAACAATCATTGAAGTATTCATTGTTTAGTTATAGCTAGTATTAATGGTTATATCGAAATGGCTTCATATCAAAGAAAAGTTTTCTATTTTTGGGATTTCAAGTTTTGCACTTTGTTAATTTATCTCACTTCTCATTTGGTGTGAATGCATTGTCTTAAAAGCAGAAATAACATATGTTTTTTCTTAAAACACAAAAATGCATGTTTTGCACATACGGAGAAGAAAAAACCCATTAATAATCACAATTGTGAGCATACTGTTCCATTCTAAAAGGTATATGTTTCCAAAAAGCCAACAAATAGCAAGAGCATAGTATCTTCCCTAGAAAATAATAACCAAAGTTTTTGAGAAAATTTTAAGATTTAAAAACTTTATATGTAGTATATATAAAAAAGAGTGATATATGTAAATATTAAACTTGGTTCACGCTGGATTCCTAGTAGCCATCTCTCAAACTAGAGTAAAGGAAACATACACAACTCTGAATTAAGGTTCCAACATTAGATGATATGTCATGACAAATGAGTATTGTACTACATCTTTGACCTTTATCAACCTATCATTGTGGTACCTTTAAAAATTAATTTCGTGTACGTTCCTTTAGATATTTTAAGAGATGGTTACTAAGAATCTAGTGATGACCAAGTTTGATGTTTACTTATATCCCTTTTTAATATGTACAACATATATAGAGGTTATATATCTTGAAATTGTCTTAATAACTATGGTTAATTATTCTCTAGGAATGTACTATGGTCTTGCTTTTTTTTTGGCTTTTTGGGAATGGATGTCTATTAGAATGTAACATTATGCTCATAATTTTGGATTATAATGCTTATTTGTTCCCACTAATTGCAAAACCACATAACGACGTCATTTTTATCATTATACATAAGAGCATGTTAAAATAATAACCTCGAATTGAGCCACTAATCTTACTACATTGTAGAAAAGGAAGGGTCATCTATCGTTGATCATTGAAGGTATCCACGAACATGGAGAATGAAATGTTGGAGGAAAAACAGACGTTTGTGGTAAATCTAATAGGATCAAAGTTAATTTTCCTAGTAAATCGTCTTTATACCAGTTTTTGTAGTTTGCATCAAATAATATATCTAGATGTTAAGACAAAAACATATTTAATACAAGTAGAAAAACTTAACACCACTTTAGCTATGAATATTTTTGCTACTATATATATATATATATATATATATCTGCAGTTCCCAACAGGTCTGGCCTTAGATATTGAGAAGAAAAGCAGAAGAATAGAGATATCACTCGAGTGCAATAGAGAGCTTCTTCACATGCATTTGTTACGTCCAAGAAAGAGAGGTATTAATACAAAATCATTTTGCTATCTTATTATCAGAAGGTTAAAGTAAATGATACAATGTTGAAATATAATTTTTATTAGTAACCTTACTTGTATTAAAAACATTTACTGAGCTATGATTAAAACTAAACATGTCGTTTTTGTAAGAAATTAACTTCATTGTATTTATTACAAACAAAAATGGAGGATTTACATAACTAACCTTTTTATGATACCATTTTCTACAAATACCCTCTCAGAATATCTATTTTCAAAAATACCATTTTCAATGTAAAAAATGACTAAATTATTTCCTTTAGTATGACCCATGATGAAGAAAGAAATATTCTTTACAACAAAAAGAATATTCATTCAAAAAGAATATTCCTTCAAAAAAAATATTCCTTCAAAAGGAATATTTCTTCCGAAATATTTCCCGCCAAATTTTCCAGCCAAAAATTTCCCACAAAATTTTTTTTTTGCGGGAATATTTTGGCGGGAAAGTTTTTGGCAGAATTTTTTTGGGAAAAAATATTCTTTTAACTAGGGGTAAAATGACTATTAAAATTTAAAAGAGGGAAAAAATAAAAATGGCAAAAAAGAGGATAGTTTTGCAAAAGGGTATCATAAAATTTTTTTTTTTTTTTTTGTCAAACTATCATAAAAAGGTTATTAAGAATTTCCCAACAAAAATATATTAGTCAAAGGGATTTAATCATCAATTTATGAAGTTTGAATAAATAATAATACTGACAAAAGTCAAATGCATTTAATATAAATATTCCATAAGATAACATACATGAATAGAGACACATCTATATATACATATATATATATATATATATATATATATATATATATATATATATATATAGTAGTGTCATCTATATATATATATATATAAAACATTCCTGAAATGGTCCTCTTAAAATGAACTATAGAATTATATACTATATAGAGTTCATCAATTTTTCTATATTTCCTTTATTAAAATTCTATCAAAACAACTGGAAAAAAAAACAAAAGTTTGACTCCAAATGACAATTATTTAAAACATAACATTTGCGAAATACTCAAAACATAGGAAATATAGTCTTGCAAGATAACTTTTATAGCTCTCAGTCGTCACTTTCAGAATCCATCTCCATATCAGAGTCAGTATATTCATCAGAAGTCGTCTCAGATTCCATCATATCCCAGATTTCGTCAACGTCTTCCGATTCGACCTCCATATTTTCATCATCTGATGAAGGTATGTTCTCCATTTCCCTTGATACTAGAAGAGGGTCGTCATGGCTGTTCATAAAAATGGGAATATATATATATATATATATATATATATATATATATATATATATAATGTAGCACAAAAGAAAGAAGAACTAGTAAGATAAAAAAAAGAATGTTAAATATGTTCATAGTGTGAAAATATACCTAAGTCTCATGAGAGGGTCCGGACCAAAATCAGCATAGCAGATTGGGCAACAGTGCCAGTCATGTTCCACAATCTTGCCGTGAATGCAATTGAAGCAAACTGTGTAAGATTTCATATTTAAAAAAAACTTTAGTCGAAGATATCGAAAAAAAAAAAATGTATACCTTTGAATCAGCTCAGATAAAATATAAGAAACAAATGATTTTAGCATGAATGTATAGCATGAAAATTTAATATTTAGTATTAAAAAGGTAAGATAACATTTCAAATTTAAATTAAACCAGAGACCGTTAAAAGCCGTTGCGTGCGCTTTATAAAAACAAACATCTTTGTTTGCTATATAAAAAGAGCAAAAATTTCAAGCCATAAAATGCTTATAAATGAGATGGACCAAAGCAAGATTAAAAGTCAAAACTCAATAAAACAGTGGACTCAATAAGATAACAAAACAAGTGATACCAAAGTACTTAAGCACCATTCAGATCCAAAAGCCTAAATGAATCAAAACCTTATCATTAGAGCGAATTGAGGAGCTTACAGATGTGGCGACATCTCTTTAGGGCAGTTGCTTCATCGAACAAATTGGTACAGATGACACAAGAGTACAGCTTACACAGGTCCTCATCCATCTTTGTTTCGGTCTCTTCTAAGTTTCTACCAACAACAACAACAACAACAAAATCAAACCACAAAATTTGACCTTGACATATAAACATGATAAGTTGATATCTAGTATCGAAAAGGTAAGATAACATTTCAAGTTTAAATGAAACCAGAAACCGTTAAAAACCGTTGCGAGAGCTTTACTAGAAACAACATCTTTGTTTCCTATGTATCATAAATCCAAAGTTTTTTGTTTTAAAGTTTCATATTTTTGTTTATTTGAAGATCTGAATGCTAATATACCCAAAAAAAAAACTCTCATAAGATTTGTTTAATTATGTCTATAAGATCTATAAACAATCAAAGTGAAATTAAAAGCTCTAAAATCAAACAAGCTTGATGTGTTTATCTATAAGATATATGAACAATCATAGTGATGAAATCAAAAGAAAGATAGATGAACAATCGTATATAGACGTAAGAATCATACTGAAATAAAAAGAGAAAAGTATATGTGTGTGAGGTGCGAAACTGATGTAATAAGATAAATCATTGCAATACAGTAAAAAAGGAAAAAAAAAAAGATGAGAAAAAAAAAACAGAAGTTCTTACAAATCTACAAGATAAGAAAAGAACTCACCTATGCCTTACAAATCTATATGTCTATCCTCATATGTAACAAGGATATATATAGTGTCAAATTGTAATTTTAATCTTTTTTATTTATTTTAGAAATGCCTCATATTTTAACTAAATTAACAAAAAGGTATATTATTTTAATTTTCCTACAAATGTAGGCCTAAATTGCATTAATAATATATCCATTTAAGTTAAAATGTAATAAATCATTTTGTTCAAAAATGCTATATATTCAAGATAAGGAGCAATGGACCCAATGCTCATTTTTAGTAAAATATAACGTAATTATTCCAGCAAAGAATTTTTTATACAGCTAAAAAAATATAGATTTCTTCATATTTTACCTTTTTTGCACTTTTTACTTTTTGTTTTCTTCTAAATATCACAAGAAAAATGCTTAACAAACAAAAGACATTTATGGAATGTATATATAAATATCTGTCTCTATTCGTAACTGTTAGTTTATGGAATTCTTATATAAAAGAAATTTGACTATTTTTTTTGTCAGTATTATTATTTTTATTCAAACTTCATACATGATATGATTTCCTTTGACGAAGTAGTGTTGTGTTATAATTTTAGTTCCGTAAACAAAAGTGTGTAGGTCGGAAAAATGTTGTAAATTCGGTGTAGTTCCGGGATGGTAACTTATAGTGAAGTTAGATAATGATCGAATCGTATTCAGAAGCATTTTCTTTTAAAAGTATTTCTACTTTTCACTCAAGCTTTGTATTATACTAAATCTTTTGTAGGATATGACAATCAAAGTGTTCATTCTTATTCTAGGCTAAGATATTATATAAACAAATAGGCATTTTTGTTTTGTTTCTTTTGTTTTCACCAAAGTTTTTCCAACCTTTGATCTTGTGTTTCACTCTTCTTATTCACGTTTTTTCTCTCTGATTTTGGTCGGAAAATAGAGTGTTAGTAAAGTAACCATACACTCGAGAGTTGCGTTGGTTAGTAAATAACCACTTTTAAAACTTAAATATCCATTAAAAAATGATATGAACTCTCACAAAAAGTGAATTTAGTTCTTATGAGCAAATCGTTGTGCTTAATTCACAGAGTTAGCTTTCAAGTTAAACTCTACTTGTAGACATGTGAGCATGTGTATGTATAGTGCTGCTTAATACATAATATCTTGGGACAAGACTAAATAACATGTTTTGGTTTCGGGTCTGAAGAGATGTATTGGTTTTGGGCTTGAGGAGATGTATGAGATTCGGCCCAGAACCTCTTTGATTATTCAAAAAAAAAAAAAATTGGTGTCATAAAATCTATCAGCGGTACGATTTTACGAAGAGTCGATCGTGGTTTAAAAGGGACTTTTAATATGCAATTAGAATGAAAATATATAATAATCTTTATAAGTCCTCTCAGCCATTGTGCTTTGCAGCTCAAGATGTTTTAAAATTTCAAGCTTATAATTATGAATGTATCTTAAGCTATGTCTACGTGTTGGATACATTGCATGAGAATATACAAGATTTGTTAAGAAGCTTTGTTTGTGTGTTGATAAAGTGATTATCTGACTTCATTTATCTGTTGTGAGTTAAGTGAGTAAACTCAATTTTTTATATTTATGTTCTACAAATCTCACAAAATCACCCCAAACGTTTTCCTTAAAATCTCACCAAATGACAAACTAATCTTCTTTTTCATAAAACAAAAAATCTACAACTCCACCAAAATAATCTAAAAGCTCCTTTAAATCTCCCAATCTTAAATTTCCTAGATTCCATAAAATCTTCTAAAATGTCAATTCAAATACATATATCGAGTTTTATATAGTAGTTCACAAATACGTCCTACCTTCAATTTTTGTTGGTTAGGGACGTTATATATGCTCATAAATTTATATACTTATTGTGTTAGAACCCCTAAAATCAGCAACTATGTAATGTAAGTAACCACGTTTAGTGTTAGAAACAATAATACATGAAAGACTATCAAGATAATACATGAGAGAAAAAAGAATTTGGTTTTATTATTATTAGTTTGTTGCATAATATATATATATATATATATATATATATAATCCTCATGGATCTCTCAGTTGTTAAACCTGCCATCGATCGCAAAGACATATTGTTTAATATAGTAGCAATATTTTCCATAGCTCTAGTGGTGTTAAGTTTTTATAAATGTCTTACATGTTTTTTTTTGTTTTAACATCAAGATATATTACTCAATGCAAACTATAAAAACTGTTATAGAGACTATTTTACAAGCACAATTTATTATGCTCCTACTAGATCCACCAAAGACACCAGTATTTTCTCTGCAACATTTCATTCTTCATGCTTATGGATACTTTCAATGATCCATTACAGATGACTCTTCTATTTTCATATTCATGATGGATACCTTTAATGTGTGCAATCACGATATGCACACATTAAATAGTTCTAATTGCACAATGTTAGACATCTCCTGTAAGTTTATCTCTATAAACTTGCATATTTGTTATTAAATCAGATTATCTAATATTTGAATCTGATAGTATAGAAAAAATAGTTAGCATTTTGTCAATCTTTCGGTCAAGGGGGCTTCCACACAGTAGTAAAGGTTAGTGGTCAGTTAGAGGTTATTTAATATGATCTTATTTATAATTTAAAAATGACGTCGTTATGTGGTCTTTCACTTAGGGGGAACAAATAAGCATTATAATCTATAATGTTCCATTCTAAAAAGCATCCATTCCCAAGAAGCCAAAAACTAGCAAGACCATAGTACTTTCCTAGAGAATAATTAACTAAACGTATTAAGACAAATTAAGATCTAAAAACTCTGTATATGTAGTATATATATCAAAAGATAGATATAAGTAAAATTTCCAGCTTGGTCATCACTAGAATCTTAGTAGCCATCTCTTAAACTGTTAAAAACGAAAGTTACACAAAGCTAACTTAAAGGTATCACATCGATAAGTAGAAAAAAGTAAAGGAATTAGTACAATACTCATTTATCCTGACATATCATCTAATTTTGGAGCCTTTACTCAGATTTGTGTATGTTTCCTTTTCTAGGTTTGAGAGATGACTACTAACATTCCGATGATAACCAAGTTTGAGGTTTACATGTATGGCTCTTTTGATATATATACTACATACATATAAAGCTTTTAAATCTTCAAATTTTCTTAAAACCTTTGGTTATTGTTATCTAGATTATCTTCTCTAGATAACTTTTGTTGACTTTTTGTAAAATGATGCTTTTTACCATGGAACAGTATGCTCACAACTATGGACTATTATGGTTATTTGTTATTCATACGTGCGAAACATTTTTATGTGTTTTTGCTTATGTGAAATAAGAAGACAGTGAGATAAATTGACAAATTAAGTAAAAAGTGTGAAACCCAAATCTAGAAAAGTTTTCTTTCATAAGAAACAATTTCGATGTAACCATTAATACTATAGCTATGACTAAATAATAAATATCTCTCTAATGATTATTAAGACAATAATAGGGCATTCACTAGTGATGAAAATTTAAGACCCATTAACAGGGAAGTAATTATAATAAATTAATGATATAAGCTTTACGATGTATTGATGTTGAAATATTAAACCCTGAAACCTCAATTATAATCTCAAAATTGTTGCTATTTTGAAAAAAACTTAAAAATAAATTACCATCAATTTAATGATCAAATTAATATGTTTGTTATTTGTTGGAAACTTTTACCATCAATTTAACGCATTATCTATAATTAATTGATGACAAATTTAACTATTTGACAACAAAGTCGTATATTCATCGAATGTAAATTTACTTTCATCAGCTTAAAATGCATTTATTTTGTCGCTACGTTGATGTATACCCCATTTATGGTGAATTAGTAATGAACCGGACTGTTGTTATATATATGTTTTTTTAAGATGAATTCTATCTAAATTATCAAGCAAAACTATATATAAAAAACTAACCGAGATTTATCTTTTACGCTATCAAGTCATAAGCATTGTAAGGGAAGATGGAGGTTGATTGTTGAATGCATAATCCAATATCCCCTCTACCTCATATTTCTCTACATCCATCGCTTTTACTTTCAAGAGTTTTCTCATGATGTTTTACGTTCTGGATCCGTCGATCTGCACCAATTCTTTGTACAACAATTGTCATAATGAATTAGATGTCTCTTATATTATATTCTACAATATATTAAAAATGAATTATTAAAAATTAAAAATATTGTAACAAAAAAAAGTTGATTAACTAATTTCTAAATATTATCTTTCTTTCTTTTTGGACCACATTTTCTAATTATTATCTTAAACTCATGAATAATGATTCACATGTTTTGAGCAGTTTCTCTCCTAAGTAAAACATATATGGTTTATCTATAAATCTCAGTGTAGAAAGAATATTCAAATCAATTAAAGGGATATTTGAATAGATAATATTTCTGTTAAAAAAATAGATCCCTAGATTACTCTGAATAGAGTTTGTGCATGAAAATTTGTTACAACTTTGAAGGCAAAACGTTTTGAAATGTAAGAAACTAGAAACATGTGAAAACAAAATTGGGTTTTAGAAAATCATCATCTAAATTTTAACAACATTATTCTACTCAAATTTAATACTGGACCAAACATAACGACTTCAAAATGTATATAAATGAGAAAACAATTAAAATAGCAATACTAATTAGACGGTTTTGCACTAATATTTGATATAAGACTAATTTCAAATACACAGTTTACGAGCAAAAGCCGTTGGAAATTTTTCGAAAGAAAATATGTGTAGCTAGATCATAAGATCGTTAAGAGAATTACCATGAATTAAACATGCATGATCTCTTTCCTTTGCCCCCAAAATATATAATGTATCAATGATCAAGAAAAAATAAAGAACTTGACTGAATCAAGAAAACAAAAATAAAATCTCTCTAGTAAATCTATTTATTTTATACTACAAAATAGAATAACTATATTTGACTAGAAATTTTTTTAGATTTATTTCTCATTTTAGTTATTATTAATTATTAAATGAAAATATTTATTGCCATTAGAACTCTTATTTTAAGGTAATAATTTTAAAAATAGTCAAAGTAAATCAAATTTAATTGTAAAAAGTGTGGACTGTGAACAACTGTCCCACCTAAAGATATTTTTTGATTACATTTCTTATAAAGATTTTTTCCCTTACATATTTTTACTGTTATTAGATTTCACTTATATTGTTATGAAAACTATCTGTATTTTTAGCTCTGATTCCTATTTGGTAGTTAAGATTAAGATTACTAATCATTTAAACAATAAGATTACATGTTACATATTGTGATATATACAAAAGTTACTTTCGTTTGTTTCCTATTAATTTTTTTTTTTTTTTAGAGATATTCTTTTTTCCAAACCTTTTTGGTGCTTAAAACATTTTATTGAGCTGTCGTACCTAAACATTTTATGTATCAGTTTTCTTATAACCAAGTAATCCTGTAACACCCCACTCCCACGTATTGGGCAGCTTGTTTTGATATAACGGTGCAGCCTGTTAAAATGTTCAATTAGTGCAACGACAAAGGATGTTATGTTTTTTTTTTTGTGGTTGTGTATACATTACATATATAAGCAGATGTTTAACCCTAAAGACCAAGGAACATTGAGTCAACCTGGCTGGGGGGTGATGCTCGTGTTCGTGTACGTCATGACTTTGAATTAAAGAGTCGTAATAACCGTATGGTCAACAAGACTAACTAGAGGATGCGAAGTCTAAGCAGCGGTTCACAAATATTCATCCAAAATATTCAGCCAAGCAAAGAAGAGGTGGTCTCTAAGTCTCATTCGCAAAATACTTAAAAATAGAAAATATGGTCTTGCAGAGTAACTTCATAGCTCTCTGTCGTTACTTTCATGAGTCCATCTCTTTAGCATAGTCTATTTTTTGTCAACAACTATATATATAAAATTGAATCAAATGAGCCAGTTTGTAGGATTATTGTTTACATACATACTTAGTTGCGGTTCATTACGTATCTTACGTGAAAAATTATCCGCTTTTGACATTATCTTGATGAGAAACTAGAATTAGTTTATAAGTGGAGAAATTTATTTTGTCATTTTGAATTTCTTCTAGGTTTTGTATGTTACAAAAGCTCGACACTCCGCTGGACAAGTCACCATCTTCACCAAGTCTAAAAGGTTTGTAATGAAAACCACATCTCTTTTGGTTGCTTCCATTATACACTTCATCGCCTACAAAGATTGGCTAAACAGCTCATGCCAATCCCCATTTGTATGTGTCCTGTTTAACCGATAGCGAATAAGTTTCTTATCATGCCAACCATGCCAAGATTTAAAAAATCACCTAGGAGGGGGAATTAAAGAAGTCCACAATCATGTACCATTTGATTAAAAAGAATAAAAGAAGAGGCATATCTTAACACACCCCCTCATTTTTTATGGTTTCCCCTTACTTCATTAAAATCTCTTATAAGGAACCAAGGTGTGTCCTAACTAATCCAAGTCGAGTTAATTTTTCCCATACTTGTCTCCTATTCCTTGGAACCGAATCACCATAGACAAAGGTTAAGTTAATTTTTTTACCTTTGAAGTTAGTTTCAATGTCAATTAACTGACTGCTCTCAAATAAAATTGAAACATTAAAATCATTATAATTATAAAATAGGGCTAAACGCCACTATAACCAAAAGGTTCAACAATAATTAAATTATCATAAACAAAATGACATTTAAATTTTTCTAAAAAAGAAGAAGATTGTTTTGTTTCTATAAAGGTCTAGCCGATGTAGCTTCCACAAGTCCCATAAATACCCAACCATCGCCTTATTCCCCAGTCCTCAACAATTCCAACTTAGAAATTTCATTTGTTAACCGCTGGGTTTGGTGGTTTTGAACCACCCGGTCCTCCCTTCTCCATATCCTGGGTTCCCCGGGATGTGTTCGTCGCCAACCTGTTCTTTTGCTTCTGGGGCTAGGCGCTTACTGGGAGGTAAGCAACTGAGCAATGGGAAAGCATCTTCCATTGGCCTTTTTCTTCTACCTTTTTCAACACTTAAAGCCAATAGCCTTTCAGCATTTTCCAAATTAACCCTCTCTTCCTCATCCTTGTCCACAATCCTATGATAATCCAATAGTGCATCCTCAATTTTCTGAACTCCCAAGGGTGGATTTGCATTGTCCATAACATGTTCCTCTTCCCTAGTTTCAACAGGAACAGACTCCTCTAACCCCACCTGCTCATCCACCTCCATATCAGAGTCTGTATCATCATCATCATCATCAGAAGTCTCAGATTCCTCAGTGTACCAATCTACATCTGAATCTGCCTTCACATTTTCATCATCTGCTGAAGGTATGTTCTCCCTTTCCCTTGATAGTAACAGAGGCTCTTCATGGCTGTCATTCGTATTAACATATAATATTAAAACAATGTAGCAAATGTTTTAATAGAACAGCACAAAGAAACAAAGAACTAGTAATATAAAACAAAATGTTAAATACGTTCATATAGTGCATACCTTAGGCTCATGAGAAGGTCCGGACCAGCATAGCAGATTGGACAACAGCGCCAGTCATGAATGCATTTCCCGCACACTGTTTATACAAAGAGATTTCGCATTAAAAAAAACTTTAGTTGAAGATATCGAAAAATAAATGTATATAAAGATAAACATAAGAAACAAATGTTTTCTAGTATACACATATAACATGATAATTTGATATTTAGTATTTAAAAGGTAAGATTACATTTCAAATTTAAATTGAAGTAGAAACTGTTAAAAACCGATGCCCGCGCTTTTTAAAAACAAACATCTTTGTTTGCTATATAAAAAAACTTGACTCGAAGATATCAAAAAAGAAATGATTCTAGTATTGGATATAAACAAGATTAAATATGAAATGTAAACAAATGATTCACACCAATTAATTCTAGTAATTAGAATAATTTCAAGCCATAAACTTATACTAATTCCAATTATGAAAACGTTTTATTGTTTTTGTTGAAGGACCAAACCAAGGTTTTAAGACAAAACTCAATAAAACAGTGGACTCGAGAAATAAGAAAATAACTCAGAAGATAACAAAACAAATGATACCAAAGTACTTAAGCACCATTCAAATCCAAAAGCCTAAATGAATCAAAACAATATCATTATAGGGAATTGAGGAGCTTACATATGTGGCGACATTTCCTTAGGGCAGTTGCTTCATCAAGCAAATTGGTACAGATGAAACAAGAGTACAGCTTCCTCATCTCATTATCCATCTTTGTTTCGGTCTCTTCTAAGTTTCTACCACAAAATCAAACCACAAAATTAACCTTCACATCTAATATAAATATATAACATGATAATTTGATATCAAGTATCTAAAAGGTAAGATAACATTTCAAGTATAAATTAAACCAGAAACCGTTAAAAACCGATGTCCGCGTATTTTTCAAAAGCTATCTTTGTTTGCTATTTATCAAAAATCCAATTTTTTTTTGTTTTAAAGTTTCGTGTTTTTGTTAATTAAAAGAAGATCTGAATGCTAATATACCCAAAAACAATTCTCATAACATTTGGTTATGTCTATAAGATCTATAAACAATCATAGTGAAATTAAAAGATTTAAGATTTAAAATCAAAATGCTTGATTAGTTTATCTATAAGATATATGAACAATCGTAATGAAATCAAACTAGCTTGATCTTTTCAAAATATAACCACACTTGTTTCTCATAAGATAAAATCAATAGAAAGATAGATGAACACTCGTATAGAGGCATAAGAATCATACTGAAATCAAAAGAAAAAAATATATGTGTGTGAGGTGTAAAACTGATGTAATAAGATAAAAAAAAAAAAAAAAAGGAGAACTCACCTTTGCCTTCTTCACTGGGAGCCTATATGTCTATCCTCACATGTAACAAAGATATATATAGTGTCAAATTGTAATTTTAATCTAATTTTATCTTTTTTTTAAAACGCTTCATATTTTAACTGAATTAAGAAAAAAATATTTTGTATTCTAATTTTTCTAAAAACATAGGCCCAAAGTGCATTAATCATATATTCATATAAGTTAAAATGCAATAAATCATTTTGTTGAAAATTGCTATATATTCAAGATAAGGTGCATGACCAAATGCTCATTTTTAGTAAAATATAACGTATATAGCTTTATAGAATTATTCCAGCAAAGCATTTTTTTCAATACAATGCTTCATATTTTCAATTATTTACACTTTTTACTTCGTAACTGTTATTTTATGAAATCTTAAAAAAAAAATTAAAACTATTCTTGTCAGTATTATGATTGTTTAATCAAGCTTCATACATGATATGATAACCTTTGACTAACATATATTAACATTTTTATAACTGCAAATGAAATTATTTTCTTACAAAATAAAGACATACGACACGTTTAGCTTTAATCATAGCTTATTACAATTTTCAATACAAATTAAGGTTTCTAATAAAATTACATTTGTATGTGAGACCCATGTTTGTGGAGAGATTTAAATGTATTGATTTGGCCGTCTATATCATTGAAGTGTACTTATATATTCGGTCAAAACTTCTCAGAGAACTAAACAGTTAAGCGCTTATGCTGGATAGTAAAAGGATGGGTAACCTTCCGGGAAGTGACTGTCGGAACTATGTAAATAAGGCCAAAACACTGGAAAACATTCAGTGGTGATTTGTAGGATCGGTATACAAATATTTACGCTAACCGACAGTCAGATATGAATGAGCTCATGGGCCTAGTAAAAGGATGTGAGGTCCATTAAAAAAAGGTGAGCTCATAGACTGCTGGTAAATGTAGGACCCACTGGAGAGATGACGATTGGAGCGTTACAATCAATTACTTTTATCTTTTGATAAAATTAATAAGATAGAAAAGTGATTTCAGTATTGATGGGTAACGAGTGTCATTATGGAGTAAGCGAGAAGTGTAAAGAACTATGGTCACATTAATGACTTTGTAAAAGAGAAAAACAATGAAGTAGTGTTGTGTTACAATTTTAGTTCCCTTAAACAAAAGTGTGTATGTGGGAATAATGATTTAAAATTTGGTGTAACTTTGGGATTGTAAGGTATGGTTGTGAGTCCCCGATTGTGGAGATGTTTAAATGAATTGATTTGGCCACCTATGTCACCCAAATGCACTTATCTATTCAGTCAAGGATCCTGAGAGAACTCCACAGTTAAGCGTGCTTATGCTTGAGTAATCAAAGGATGGGTGACCTTCCAGGAAGTGGTTGTCGGAACTGTTTGAGTTAGGCCAAAACACAGGGAAAGATCATGTGGTGATTTGTATGGTCGATAACAAAATTTTAAGCCTCCCGGGCGTAGCAAAACCACTGTCGGATATTAATGCACTCATGGGCCTAGTGAGAGGACGTGAGGCCTATTAAGAGAGGTGGCCCCATTGGCTGGTGGTGAACATGGGGCCCATTAGAGATATGGCGGTCAGAGCGTTACAAGTGGTATCAGAGCCGAATCCAGACAAATGTTGAGTGGTGGGCTCACATTATCAGGGGGTGACGATCGTTGTGCCAACAAGGACGTTGCGGTCTGTTAGTGGGGGAGAATTGTGAGACCCTGGTTGCAGAGAGGTTTAAATGAATTGATTTGGCCACCTATGTCACCAAAGTGCACTTATCTTTTTGGTCAAAAGAGTCTTCAGAGAACTCCACAGTTAAGCGTGCTTATACTCGAGTAGTCAAAGGATGGATGACATTATGGGAAGTGGTTGTCCGAACTGTGTGAGTGAGGCCAAAACACAGGGAAAGATCATATGGTGATTTGCTGGGTCGGTAAACAAATATTTAAGTCTCCCGGACGTAGTAAACCGACCGTCGGATATTAATGGGCTCATGGATCTAGTTAGAAGACGTGAGGCCCATTAAGAGAGGTGATCTCATGGGCTGGTGGTAAACATGGGGCCCACTGAAGATATAGCGGTCGGGGCATTACAATGGTTAACTTTTAAAAAATATATTTAAGTAATTCGACACTTCTCTCAAGCCTTTGGTTAGACAAAATCTCTTATAGAATATGATAATCAAAGTTTTCTTTATTGTTCTACGCTAAGATACAAGAGAAACAAATAAAGTTTTATGTTTTTTTTTTTTTGTGTTTTCACCAAAGTTTTTTCAATCTTTGGTCTTGTGTTTTTCTTTTCTTACTCACATTTTCTTCTCAGCAAGTTTTGGTGCAAAAGCCAGAGTTTTATAATGGTTAGTGGGTGTGATAAACGTTTACAACCGTTCGTTTAATAGGCAACCATACACTCAAGAATTGTGTTGGTTAGTAAAATAACATATACTCAAGAATTGTGTTGGTTAGTAAAGTAACCATACACTCAAGAATTGCGTTAGGTTAGTAAATAAGCACGTTTAACTTTTAAATATCCACCAAAAATGATATGAACTGTAACAAAAAGTGAATCTAGTTCTTATGAGAAAATGGTTGTGCTTATTTCACAGAGTTAGCTTTCAAGTTAAACTCTACTTGTAGACATGTGAGCATTTGTATGTATAGTGCTGCTTAATACACTTGTAGACATGTGAGCATTTTGTATAGTGCTGCTTAATACATAATATATTCATCTCATAAAATCTATCAGCGGTGCTATTTTAGTATGCATCGGATCATGGTTTAAAAGGGACTTTGAATATACAATTAGAATCGGAACTTTATTATCAATGATAATACATGGGAGAAAAAAAATTTGGTTTTATTATTTTTAGTTATATATATATATATCTGTTTAGTATACAAGCAATATTTTCCATAGCTCTAGTGGTGTTTAGTTTTTTTTACATGTCTTAAATGTGTTTTTTGTTTTAACATCAAGATATATTACTCAATGCAAACTATAAAAACTGTTATAAAGATTATTTTACAAGCACAATTTATTCTAATCCTACTAGATCCACCAAAGATGCCAATTTTTTCTCTGCATCATTCCATTCTTCATGCATATGGATACTTTCAATGATCCATTACAGACGACCCTTCTTTTTCATATTCATGATGGATACCTTTAATGTGTGCAATCACGATAAATGGTTCTAATTGCACAATGTTAGAGATCTCATGTAAGTTTATCTCTATAAACTTGCATATTTGTTAATTAATCAGATTAGCAAAAATTTGAAGCTGATAGTATAGAAAAATAGTTAACCTTTGGTCAATCTTTCGGTCAAGGGGACTTCCACACAGTAGTAAAGGTTAGTGGTCAATTCGAGGTTATTTAATCTGATCTTATTAATAATTTGAAAAATGATGTCGTTATGTGGTTTTTCACTTGTGGAGAACAAATAAGCATTATAATCCACAATTGGGAGTATAATGTTCCATTCTAAAAAGCATCCATTCCCAAGAAGCCAAAAACTAGCAAGACCATAGTACTTTCCTAGAGAATAATTAACCAAACGTATTAAGACAATTTAAGATCTAAAAACTCTGTATATGTAGTACATATCAAAAGATGGATATAAGTAAAATTTCCAACTTGGTCATCACAAGAATCTTAGTAGCCATCTCTTAAACTGTCGAAAAGGAACTTACACAAAGCTAACTTAAAGGTAGCACATCGATAAGTAGAAAAAAGTAAAGGAATTAGTACAATACTCATTTATTATGACATATCATCTAATTTTGAAGCCTTTACTCATATTTGTGTATGTTTCCTTTTCTAGGTTTGAGAGATGGCTACTGACATTCCCATGATAACCAAGTTTGAGGTTTACATGTATGGCTCTTTTGATATATACTTCATACATATAAAGTTTTAAAATCTTGAAATTTTCTTAAAATCTTTGGTTATTGTTATCTAGAGAAGATAATATGCCCTTGCTATTTGTTGACTTTTTGTAAAAGGATGCCTTTTACCATGGAATAATATGCTCACAACTATAGACTATTATGGTTTTTTGTTATTCATACGTGCGAAACATTTTGATGTGTTTTTGCTTATAAGAAATGAGAAGACAATGAGATAAATTTTTTTTTTTTTTTTTTATAAACATGTGAATATCATATTAATATGTGAATATCATATTAATATGAAGAGTTAGGATAATACAGTGAAGATTATACTAGTGCATGTAACCTTGCCCAAAAAAAAGAGAAAAAAACAGGGTTACAAAAAGTGTTGGTGTCAACAACACAAGATTAGCGAATCCATAGTCTCATGAGATTTCTGAATTGCTTTCTAGATTTCCTAGCTGAGATTGTGTTCCTTATTTCCCGGTCAATATGTTTGAAG